TGCTGTTCAGGTCTGAGAGTCCAAGCCTACATGATTCCTTTAAGGGGCCAGATATGGGCACAGAAATCTTTTGTTATGGCTATGGAGCAGTGACTTAATTTTGTCACCCAGACATTCAAATGCCACCCCATACTAGGGCCTTTCTACTGTTGGGGCATAGCCTGTGCTACTCGGGAGTTCTTCCATCCCCCTCAGAAAAACACCTCCCAAACCCTTTTCAGTCTATAGGCTTTCATGGGTGGGACCGCTTCTCAAATTTTAACACTTTCAACACCTCTCTAATAGCTCAGGCTCCCAAATAGCTGGTTGTTTTCCAGGTGTTGGGCTACCTTTGTTTTTAACTTCAAAACCTATGGTGACAAGGCAGTGATCTTTTGAAATGAGACTCTCAGAAGAAAAGCCCTTCTTTCTTTGTGTCTCCTAAAGCATCAAAAACAAAACAAATCACTCTGTCATACATCTAAATAATGAGTGCATAAATCCATTGCAAATTATTTCTATTTATCATAAGCTGAGAGAATTGTCTGAAAAATATTTTTGTTCCCCTTTTGCCTATTAGTATTGAAATTATTTGTGCTTAAAGTTAATGGTGAGAGGAGGGGCATTCTTTTAAAAATACTGTTTCCCAGGCTGTTTGCTATTATCTCCTTCCCTACCATGGGGTAGTTTCCCAATAGCTTCCAAAAACTAGAACCAAACTCACTGCCATCGAGTTGGCATACCAACCTGTCCTTGGGTTTCTGAGATGATAACACTATGGGAGTAGATTGCCCAGTCTTCCTTCCAAGGAGTGGCTGATGGGTTTGAACCTCCAGTCTTCTGGTTAGCAGTCAAATGCTTTAGACCTACAGCTTAGTTTATCTAAAAATCAGCAAACATTGAAAGTTTGAATCTTTGAAAGTTTGGTGAGCAAAGAAGTCAGGAGAACAAAACAAATAACTCAGGCTCAAATGGAAGAAGAGTGAAAGCTGAGGAAAGGAGATGGAGTACTGAGAAACCTGAAGGGAAGGGATTGTCAGGGGTGGGAGGGACCCCTGGCATCCACAGGATAATCAGACATTTATCAAGGCAATGTGCACCAGTCCCTTTTACAATAGGCAGTAGGGTCAGGCTTAGCATCTCTTGCTTAAAAACTCTGCAGCCTCAGAAGTTATCCAGGTTCCATTTACTTATGGAGATTGTATTATTTTCTTATTGCTCCTATAACAAATTACCACAAACTTTGTGGTTTAAAACAACATAAATGTATTACCATACAGTTATGGAAGTCAGAAGTCTTCCACAGATCTCATTGGACCAAAATCAGGGTGTTGGCAGGGCTGAATTCCTAGGTGGAGCTTTAGGAAGAACCCATTTCCTTATCTTTTCCAACTTCTACGGGCTGTCTGCATTCCTTGGCCTGTGGCCCCCATTTTCCATCTTCAAAGCACCTCTCTAGCCATTCTCTGTTCTTCAATTGCATCAATATAGACTACTCTGTATTTCTGTAGTAGTCACACCTGGCAGCTCTGGTGGCATAGTGTCTAAGGCATTTGACTGTTAACCAGAAGGTTGGTGGTTCAAACCTACCAGCCACTCCTTGGAAGGAAGGTTGGACAATCTACTTCTGTGGTGATACCACCTCAGAAGCTCAAGGACGAATTGCTGTGAGTTGGATCTGGTTCGATGACAGTGAGGTTTTTTTTTTTTTTTGGGGGGGGGGGTGGTTAGTCACATCTACTTCTTTTCAAAGCCAGGAAAATTTCTCTGTTTTTAAGAATTCTTGTGATTAGATTGGGCCACCAGGATATTCCAGGATAATCTCTCCATGCCAAAGTTCTTAATCATATCTTCAAGACCCCTTTTTGCTATGAAAGGTAATAAATTCACAGATTCCGGGGATCAGGACATGCTTACCTTCAAACACCCACTGCCATCGAGTTGATTCTGACTCCTAGGGACTGCCATTGGGTTTCTGCAGTGGTAAATCTTTATGGAAGTAGACTGCCTCTGTTCCTTCCACAGAGTGCCTGGTGGATTTGAACTGCCCCTGTTCTGGTTAGGGGTCAAATACCTTACACACTGTGCCACCAGAGCTTCTGTATGCACATCTTAGGGGTCATTATTGCACCTACCAGAAAGATCAGGTAACCTTAATTGGAACCCTCTGTGTAGGCCAGAATATAAGGCGGTTCATCACCAAGACTACCAGTATATATACCTGTTGAGTTGGAGTCAATTCTGACTCATGGAGACCCCATGTGTTACAGAGTAGTATAGTTCCATAGGGTTTATTTGCCCATCATTTACAGAAGCAGATCACCAGGCCTTTCTTCTGTGGTGCCAGTGGTTGGGTTCAAATGGGCAACCTCTAGGTTGGTAGTTGAGCACAAACCATTTACACTATGTAGGGACCTTATATTTCCAGATTAGACCATGTTAAAGGTTTTTGAAGGCTTCCCTACATACAATTTGAAATGTAGAAATAATATGTCATTTATTCTCATAGAGTAAAGACGTGTGTTTTCTTAAAGGAAAAAAAAATATATGTATGTATGTATATATACACACACATAAACACACACACGTCTTTTTCAATTATATCCCAGTATAAGATAGCAAGAAAGTAAAAGGATGGCCTATAAATTTGCATTTAAGATGCACCCACTCTGGTAGTCTTGAGGTGAGCATTAGGTAGGAGTCACTAGAGTGGGGCAGTTAATTTGACTCTGCATGAACTAGGACCATGATGAAGTCCATGGCTGTCTATCTATCTATCACATGCTATCCCTACCTGATGCTCTTCTGATAAGATGCTTGTAGAATCAGAATCACTGCAAATAGTTCCAAATGGCAGTTCCTGTTGGCCCCCACAATGTGGTTAAGCAGGCCCTCCTTAGATGTAGAGTCTACCTTTGTTTCTTAATAGATAAGGGTCATTCTGCAGAATGCAACCTATCATTCACATGTGTTCAGGTGCTAACACTCACCATGCATCATTGTAACCAGGAACTAGCCCTTTCTGGAGAACTGGCCAGAACTCCTCTAGGAATTTGATTCCACCCTCTGATTCAGATGTATATCTTATTCTTATCTTAACTAGTCTTTTACTTGCTCCCTAGGCAAGCTGAATATGAAAGCATCCACTTCTGGGTAAAAAAGAAAAATGAAGCCTGGGAAAAAATGAGAAAGTAACCCTTGCAATTTATAGGTTGGTTAGGGAGCTCTGGTAGCATAGTTCCTAAGGCATTTGACTGCTAACCAGAAGACCGGTGGTTCAAACCCACCAGCCACTCCTTGGAAGGAAGGTTGGGCAATCTATTTCCATAGTGATACTGCCTTGGAAACTCAAGGAGAGGTCCCTATGAGTCAGGTCTGACTTGATGGCACATAACAACAACCTTCAAAAATAGGCCTCATCTTTTGCTTAGGGAACCCAAAGGAAAGAAATGTAGTGACTGAAATTTTCCACAGACAGGGCTATTTATCCTGTTGTTGCTCCAAATAGGCTGAGTAGTACTTGTTGTTAGATACAGAGTATTGAGTGCTGGTTGGTCACCGGAGCTGTTAGAACTGGTTTCTTCATAGGTCTCATGAGTGAGATAATTAATATGCATAAGAAGTCACATTCTATTTGTGTATAAAAACATAATCAAAGTCATGTAAAGCCTCTAAACACTTGACTTTTCAGAGTTCTCTCCCCTCAGCTATCTCATCTGGTCCTTATAACAACATGGATGGTCATAGATCTCCATTTTATTCTCATTTAACTTGGTTACAGGGTTACTGTGAGCTTAGATTGGAACAAGCTATCTTAATTGCCAAACCAATCCTCTCTCTACTTGATTATGTCGATTAAAAAATAAATCTAACAACTCAAGAGTTAGAGCAGAGTTTTAATGACTTCAGAACTGTCAGAGCTGTAACACCAGTTCTCACTTACAATCTATATTTAGCAGCAATTGACTGTAATTTGGTGAGGGAGATAAGAAAGAAAAGGTGGCAAATCATGCAATATTATATGAAAACATAACAAAATTTTGAAAAATGAAATATTATATAGAAAACTAAGATCTTGAAAAAACAAACACTTTTGCTGCTGTACAAGTTTAGAAATAGCTTATAGTTTATATTGAATGATGAATATGAGGATCAAATGACCAAATGCAGAGATGACCTCTGAGCTTAAATTGCCCAAAATGTAGAGAGCTGAGTCCTTTCTGGTCAATGTAATTGATCCCACCAAAAATAAGGTAAGTAAAATGCATGAAGTGATTTAAATGTGGAGTTCTACTCCTTGCCCCCATGTTTCTTTTCCTTAATCTAGCTAATCTAGATCTATTATATTTATCAAACATTGACATGCCATTCAGGCTTAGAATGATTTTCTGGATCATTTATAAGGTTTGTTCAGGTCAAAGAAGCACACAGAAAACCTGTTTCTTCCTGGCTTTACTTGTCAGTTTTCAGTAAATGCCAATTTCTAATCTTTCAAAAATATACTTTAAAATAATGTGATTTGTCTTTTTTAACCTAATTATCTCTTCCTGACTCTTGGAATGTTTCTGCAGCCAAACTGAATACTGACAGAGAAAAACCTCCTTGAAAAAACTTTCTAAATGCCCATGTTTATTTTGCTGATGATGTCTGTGCTAGGTATGCATACTGCATGTAGTTAAATAGATGAAAGTGGCTTCAGTTTTGGAATAATACATTAGTCTCTGGTGAATGAGGTCTGGTTCTCCTAAAGGACATGCTTATAAAGCCTGCCCAATGCAAGGAGCGTGAAGCAATTGTCAGCCCTTTATTCATCATAGTTGAATGTGTTTCTTAAGGATTCTATTCAAGCAGAGAGTCTGCATACTGGGAAAATTACGTACCAATCATCTTTCCCTAACCTAAAAATAAAATTCAAATGTGGAGAAGTTCACAGCATTCCACCCCCCTCAAACTCCCCCATCGCCACTTGGAGACAAGGCTGAACCAAGAGGAGGTAGTGTGGACCTTCAATGGACTCAGCATCAAGAGTCTGTGCAATAACTTCGAGATCCTTCTCTGATTAGCTGTGTTTTCTCATTTGCATTTGTAGGCTGGAGAACTGGAAAGTCCACATCTGAAAATAAACAAAGCAAAGCAATAAACAGTCTTTGCCATGTTAAGGTTTCATTTAATGGGACAAGTGGTAGGAGGTATTTTTGTTGAAATAATGAGTGGCAGATCATTTTAATTCATAACATATTATGAGTGCTTACCCTTTTAAGAACTTTAAAATGGGGGAGACAATGTCTTTATTCCTCATTTAAGTTTATCAGTTATAGAATTATAAAACTGAGCACTGAACCCAGCTTTCACCTTGAAATGACTTGCTAGACCTGGTGAACTTGAGCTTGTCAGTACAGAGGCAGGTCACCACATATAGTTGTGCAGGCTGTGCATCACACAACTCTTGTGGGTACCTTTCATATAGACTGTTTGTGTTGCTGTCATGGTCAAGCCAATTTTGACTCATAGTGACCCCATGTGACAGACCAGAACAGCCCCACAAGCTTTTCTAGGTTGTAATGTTTACAGGATCACGTCACCAGGTCTTCCTCCCACAGAGCTGCTGTTGGTTCAAACCACCAACCTTCAGGTTAGCAGCTGAGCACTTAACCATTGTGCTACCAGAGCTCCTTTCATATAGACAACAATGTTTAATACTTGTCCCCTTATCTCTTCTACTTGATTGTAAGTTCTAATTCTACTTGATTGTGAGTTTGGTTTATTTTTGCTTTTAGTTTCCAGTGGATACTGATAATACCACTGTATTGAACTTCTTTTTTCTTTATTTCTTAAAGTTGGAATCTGGATTATATAATTTGACATAGTTGAACTATGTCTTTCTTTTCTCTAGCTCCTAGAATAATATCTGACAAATGTTAAGTACTCAATAAATGTTTACAGTAAAGATATTAATTTTAAATTTAAGAATTAAAACTTAGAGTATTAGTTTTATTGTACAAAGTTACCAGTCTTAGTAACTTTGCTTACTGAATCTTGGCAGCTGAAAATCAAAGAAAACTTGGGTCCACTTTAAACAGCTTTTTGGACAGCATTCTGAGCTGGCTCACCTGTCCTGCTGCTCTGCCCCAGTGCCTTAATGATGCTGATTGATATTGTCATATAAATAAAAAGAAAAGGATTTTGGACCAGTTGCAAGCATAAGTTCCCATGAATTATTTTTAGAAATTGGTTCCTTTTGACTGGGGCAAGGGAGATTGGAAAAACATTGAGTGGAGAATTGTGGAAAGAAGGACAAATTTAATCTCTTCCTTATGACTTTTTCATGGGCAGTACGTTATGATGAATGCTGAACAGCAAATGTAATAAATGTCTCAATATCTTGGCCAAGAGCAAGAGTCTAATTACAAGCCATATGGCCTCATCAGCTCAGTGGTTGTGAATTTATTTGGGTTTTATCCAGGTGAGTGGTGGCAAGAGCAGTTAAGCCATAAACAGATTTTTTCTTTGCATCGAATCTCACTTTTTTAGATACAAGGTCAATACGATAAAATCTTCTCCTTTAGATACTTTATTCCTGATTTCTTAGAATTTAACTAAGAGTTTTGGTTGGATTTCAGTTCACTGTGATTCTGCTTGGGAGAAACAAAATGAATTTAGCTCTTATATTTTTTGTTTGCTTTGCCAGAGTGTTAAGAGTTAACTAGTTCCCTTTTGGGTTATTGCCATCTACCTTGTTACACTCTCTCTCTCTCTCTCTCTCTCTCTCTCACACACACACACACACACACACACAGACACACACATGCACACACACAGAGAGGGGATAGGGTTCTGTCTCAAAATGCTCTATAAAGCCTTCTTAGCAGAATTCTGATTTTATTGTGACCGTTAGCCAGCAAAGGAGTATAGAATCTAAATGATCGTGTTTTAAATACACCACTCAAAATCTCACATTGTGGAACTGCTATTATGTGAACATTTGAAAGTAGGGGACATAACCTGGTATCTATTACCTTTATATTTCTAGTTTCAAATTTTCTAAGACAAAATAATTGGGGAGAGGTTCCCTTCAAGGCACCAATTCTCTTCCATTTGATCCTGATTGATTTATAAGAACAATGTGATTTCTAGGATCCCATTGGGCATATATTTTCATTTGAGACAGAGATGGGAATCAGTTTGCAAGTTCTTTAATTCCCATCAAGGAGCTCTGGTAGCCTAATGCCTCAGGTATTTGATTGCTAACCAGAAAGTTGGCAGTTCAAACCTACCAGCTGCTCTGTGGAAAGAAGATGGAGCAGTCTAGTTCTGTAAAGATTTGCTGCCTTGGAATTGACTTGATGGCAGTGAGTTTGGTTTATTTTTGCTTTTAGTTTCCAGTGGATACTGATAATACCACTGTATTGAACTTCTTTTTTCTTTATTTCTTAAAGTTGGAATCTGGATTATATAATTTGACATAGTTGAAAAAGACACAATAACCCAAACAAATCTCTCCTCTCTGCTACCCAATCCCACCCTATATCACTACTCCAGAACAGAGACTGGTACTATGTTACAGCAACAAAATGTACTTAGGTTTTAGTTAGTGTCAAGGGGTAAGCATGTTTGAAATATGCACATAAAAAAAGAAGTACAAGAAAAATTACATATAAAATATGAATTGTTAAAACTATCTCAAGGCAGGTGAAATTTTCCTAATGATTTCATGTAAGTCATTGGATAAAAAAGGATTTGATATTTTGAATTTAGATTTTCACAAGTTAAAAAATGTCTAATAACATGTCGTTAAAAGTGAAATTTGAAGTGTTTTAGCCATTTAATTCAAATCGGAAATGTATTTCTCTGTTGTTGTTGTTGTTATGTGCTGTCGAGTTAACCCGATTCATAGTGACCCCTCCTTGGGTTTCTGAGGCAGTTTCACTACGGAAGTAGATTGCCTCATCTTCCTTCTAAGAAGTGGCTGGTGGGTTTGAACTACCAGCCTTCTGGTTAGCAGCCAAGTGCCTTAGGCACTATGCTACCATTTCCTCTTCTGTATTAGTTTAATAAGGCATAAAAAGACAATAAGGTGTTAAGTAGTTATTATTTTTATTCTGGAGAAAAGATTGCCTCTTATTAGTTTTATGGTATTTTGCATCTTGTCATTTCTGGATAGAAGATTCTGGATTCTGAAGAGTAAAAAAGAGAGATGTTAATCACACTTCTTTAAAATCAATACTCATTTATAAAAAATAAATTTCCAGTTGTGATCTTCATATACTGACCAAATCTCCAAGCACAGCATAATAATTTGCAGCATAGCATTTAGAGGGATAATTATTAAGACTCTAGATCCACTATCTCTTCCCCACCCCACCTATTTCATCCCAATTACTTTTCCCTTTCTTTCTTCCCTCTCACTCATTGCTGTTGAGTCGATTTCGACTCATAGTGACCCCTTCTTGGGTTTCCGAGGCAGTATCTCTACAGAAGTAGACTGCCCAATCTTCCTTCTGAGGAAGATTTGAACTGCCAGCCTTCTGGTTAGCAGTCTAATGCCTTAGGCACTACACAACCAGAGCTCCCTTGAAGGCAGAGTATTATGCTCAGAGGCATTTTGTCCAATCCCCAGTCAGTGAATATTGACCTCTCTGTCCTGCTTTTTCAAAAATCTTTATCTAATATAGATTTTAAACATAAATGTGAAGGTAGATAACAATGTTTTTTTAAAGAAAATTTTCTACTGGCAAAAAGTCACCAAGCTTGAAATTCAGTATTGACAGCCCATTATGATTGACTTGTGTCTCCCCAAAATATGTGTTGGAATCCTAATGCCTATACCTGTGGATATAATCCAGTTTGGGAACAATGTTTAATTTGTTATATTAACAAGTCCATATCAATGTAGGGTGTTAGACCCTGTGTTTAAGTTATTAAAAAAAAAAAAAAATTAGACAGAGAGAGGACAGACAATCAGGGGATGGGGAGGGTGGGGCAGAATATCACCAAGGACCTGAAGGAGACAAGGATCTTCCACTGGAGTAAACAGAGAGAGACACCTTTACCCTAGAGCCACCAAACCCAAACCCACTGCCACTGAGTCAATTCTGACTCATACTGAGCCTACAGGACAGAGTAGAACTGCTCAATAGCGTTTCCAAGACTGTAAATCTTTGCAAAAGCAGACTACTTCAACTTTCCCTTGTGGAGTGGCTGGTGGATTTGAACTCCCAAACTCTTGTTTAGCAGCTTAATGCTTTAATCACTACACGACAGGAGTTCCTTTACCCTAGAGTAGGTGCCTTGAATTCAGCCTTCTAGTCTCCTAAACTGTGAGAAAATAAATGTATTTAAAGCTACTTGTAGTGTCTCTGTTACAACAGTACTAAAACACACTGAGGAAAAATCTTAACAATACCACCTACATAATTTGCAGAGCCTAGTGTAAAGTGAAAATGTGGTATACTTTGTTCAAAAAGTAGTAAGCATTTCAAGGTGATGGTGACAGGAGAGCAATAAACCCAGTCCTGGTTGTTCTTGCCAGTCAATAAGGCAAGAAAAAGAAATAGAAAGGGAACAGATTCAAAAAAAGAAATAAAACTGTCCCAAATTCTCAGACATGTATGATTGTTTACATAAAAAATCCCAGAAAACAAAGCAAGAAAACCCACTACCAGTGAGTAGAATTCCAACTCATAGTGACCTCCAATGGGTTCCAAGGTGGTAAATTTTTACAGAAGTAGATTGCCCTGTCTTCCTTCCATGGAGTGGCTGATGGGTTTGAATCACCAACCTTCTGATTAGCAGTCAAATGTCTTAGGCACTGTGCCACCAATGCTTCTTAGAAAATACCAGGGAGTCTACAAAAACTCTAAACTAATAAGTGATTTTAGCAAGGACACAAGATATCAGGTCAACACACAAAAATCAATTATAAATACTTGCAATGAACAATTGGAAACTGAAATTAAAAAAAAATACCATTTATAATTCTTTTTTGAAAAATGAGATACTTAGGTACACATTTAACAAAATATTTACAAGGTCTGTACACCAAAAATGAAAAAATGCTCATGAAAGAAATCAAATAAGACCTAAGTAAATTGAGAGACATATCATGTTAATGGA